AAAGAAGGATGAAGGAAAGAAATAATTTCTAGTTTTCCATGTAAAATGAATATTTTAGTGTTAGCCATTTTGACTTGTCTGTTCGAAACATATGAGCACCAAATACCATACCAGTGAAGCAGACTACCTACCAAGGGAAGGACAGCAAGACATATTCATTGCAACTATTTAATAATTTCCTGTTGTCCTAACAATTTCCTGTTTCCTAACATACATTTGTTGTTACACTGTTCTTGATTTTAGTGTAGTGATCAGCACAGATGATCTTCAGTTAATGTTTGTGAAATATTCAGGTAGCTTTTATGATATAGGCAACAATGTCTTTTCAGATCATGTATTGCTTTTTCTTTTTTAGTAAATATATAAAATAAACGTACAGATAACTTCAAATCTGTGTATTGTGACCTAGACTTTAATCTGCCTTCTTGTCATCCAGAATATGAGGAATATGTCCTAATTCCATCACCCAGAAATATACTGAAGTTCTACAAGTGTATGTGTTTACATTGGCACATACGTATTTAAAAAGGTGTCATATGCCTTTGTACAGATCCACCTTTGAAAGGAGTTACTTTCCTCTTCTTTCTTCTCAATCATCATCTACATGATGAAAGCATAGACAGTTTGTAAGAGCTATAACTAAACCCACCTGAAAACATCTGTCATACAATGACATTTCTCAGCTTTTCTAAATGTGCAGTTTCTCCATTAATTAAATTGATCTGAGGTGCACAGTTCTGGGAGGTGACAGGTTTAAGGATCAGCCTCTTTGCAATGCATTATGGATCACAGTTAGGGCTGTGTCATAGCTAAAGAGGGTCAATTTGGGAAGCTTTCCAGGAAGGAAATAGCTTCGGAATGTCCTGGGTAGTGAGCTTTATCAATACATGGATGGAAAGGGCACTGTAGACATTTGGTTTTGGTTTCTAGACCATGGGCCTCATTCTTTTTAACCAATACACTTACAGATCATGGCAACAGCTGCAGCCTCATTTTATACTCTGATAAGCAGGTTGTTGATCTAAGGGTTGAAAATCAGTACTCCTAGCACTCATGGTGACCTTCATCCTTCATGACTGCATACCGAAGAGTAGAAGCCAAACATCTTTGAAGGAGGTTTATTTCCTTTTAATTTTGTTCAATTATATGTTTCAATGTTATAACATGCAGTTGCACTGTAAAGGATGCAGAGGACAACTCTGTCTGCTTTTCTATACTCACCACTGTGTTTAAACTTCTAGTACAAAGAGACAAAAATAGTAACAACTGTATTTATAGGACTCATTAAAATAGATTTTTTTTCCTGTGAAATATGTGCAGCAGATGCTGTTGGGTGGTGAAGGTCATTGCAGCATTCATTTGGAAAATGTAAGAGGTGAAATTCTGGACTGAGTAGAGTTGCTGAGCCCTGGTCTCTAAGGAGCTTGTGGTTTCCATGTGAAAGCCTCAGCTTTTTCTTAGTCTTTTATCCCAGATACATTATTTCTTTTACTCTGTGTGTGCTGGTATTTTATTGCTTTAGGGAAATAGTTTTGTGCCTACATTTTAGGTAAACCATTGTGTGATAACTATATAAAACCATAAAATATTAACAAGTATAATTAAAAAGAGAAATGTTAGGTTGTTTATAAATATATGACAAGTTTATTGCGCTCTGATTACAGCTTCACAGAAGTGTAATTCCACTGGGTTCTGTAGCATTACTCTTGAATTAGGCCAACAGAAAGCAAGCCCAGTATATTTATTTTAATGTAAACTTTATACAGTTATGTTGTCAAAGCTGTGCAGTGTAAAACTATTACAGGGTATTAAATATGTTAGTTTGATGTCAAAAGACATTTTATGCCTAAATGTTGATTTTTATCAATCATTTGTTTCCTGTCATCATCTCTTCACATGCGTAAATTGTGCACTTTCCTAAATCAAATGACTTAGCACTTCTGCAGTGCTTTACAGTTCTGAAATGCTGTGTGAATATTAATTATGGCACAGAGCAGCCTGGTCAGGAAGGTAGATAAGTAAGTATTATTATCCCTATTTTACAGATGGGGAAGCTGAGGCACAGAGATTAAGTGACTTTCCCAAGGCCACAAAGCAAGTCAGTGGCAGATCCAGGATTAGCGCTCGGGGACTTCCTGGATCCCTCTCCCATGCTTTAAGCAGTAGACCACAGTGTTCACTGGACTCAGCAAGCAACTCATTCCAATAATGGACAGTTCCAAGGACTCATACCTGGTTAGTGTGTCCACACATTTGTTTGCAGACTGCCACAGTATGTCAATATGGTTTGAATACCTCAGTCCTAGCAGATTTTGTGCACTACGTAAAATTTCTGACCCTCATCACCTTCAAATGGGGTGAAAGAAAGAAATGGTAGAATTCTGACATAAACATGGCATGGCTGTGAAAAACATTTAGTTTCCGTGCCTTATTCTGAGCCTGCTGAAACTGATGGGTAAAACTGCGGTGGATTCATGGCTTTAAGGATGTTAGTGTGGAGGTTGGTGGCTGCTTGGTATGTTAAAAGTCAGCCAGAGCATGAATTCTGTCTTCCATGACTGTCTTGTGGTTAGTCTTGCCTATACTTTCAGTTTGAAACTCTTGTTTATTGCAACACTTAAAACCAATAATTTCATAGTTTTCCTGACATGCTAATAAAAAGCAGGGCATTACCAACTGAAATGAAGTTTCTAGTCATCGTGGGAAAATGGAGCGGATCTGCCACTATTTTTAATTCTATTGCAATAGTGCTTACCTCCAAGTGAGATTAAGACCTAATTGCACTAAACTACTGGCAAGCCCTTCCTTCCCTTCTCCCCTCCTCCAAGGAGGCAGTACAGGAATCACAGGAACTACTTCTAGACTAAATGCAGTGTGACTCTTGTACTGGTAAATGCGAGGTGGCTTTCATACCTCTCCCTGGGAAGTGAGAGTGTACGGTGCAAGGCCTGTTTAATTGGACTTTGCTCAGAGTTTGACAAGTGAATTGGCAACACCACCATACTTCCAATAAGCTGTTTTTCTCTGTAATATTAATGGAACAAACCCACTTCTGAGAATGAGGCAAGGCTGAGACTTGCTGTGACATTACAGGAAGAGGAGGCAGGGAAGAAAACGATTGCCAGAAGCTGAAAATTGAACACATGGGAAAGGAGAAGTCAAAGTGTATGAGCATATTTTGATAAATATTAATGAATTAATTTGTATTTCATTTACTTAGATGATCTGTAACCGCTTTAAACTGTCCAGCAATTTAACATTTTTCCTCATTGTAGAATTTCCCCTAACATTACTTCCATAAGGCCTTTTCAGGATCAGTAAAGTTCTGACGCTACTTCTGATGTGGCTGCAACACTTGGCCTTTGGCATCCTGCCTAACCATTCACCCAGGGGCATGGCATCACACTAGCGTGACAAACACACCCAGTTATGTCTAACTGCTTAAAATAATGGATTCATTTTACCTAAGATGATCAAATGGTTTGTGCAAAATTATACTGCCCTGTATGTCTTAAGAGATTATTAGCTAATTCTAAATTATTAAAAGACAAAACAGTTTCAATAGAATGCCTTTTCTCACTGTCAGATTTTAGTTACATACTGTTATCTGTGGGAAAGCTCTATTAAAGGAACTGCAACACTCTCAGTCTCTCTTTCTTTAACAGCCCAGATGCTTGGTGCTGACACGTTCCTAGGATTTTTCTATATAAGATAGCTACAGCATGACAGCTATTTTTAAAAAAGAGAAGCGCCTGAAACAAAAACTTACATCCAGAATGCACAACATCCAGCTCTAGATGTGAATCTTTTTGCCTGGGGCTTCTGCTCTTTAAGGAGAGGTGCTCATGTAGTTTAATTTGTCGTTATATTCTATTGCATTCTATATATAGATATACATTTAGCATGTATCGCTGGTATTCAAATCCCCTTGCTTCAGACTTCCATTAAGATACCAATTTTATATATTGAAATCAAGCAGTTCTAATTCTAATATCACTTACTAAATCCCTTCCACTAATGACAAGTAAATATATATGCATGATATATTAATTGATGTTTTTGTATAATTTGTCTTTTTTTTCTTCATCATCATTTACTGGAAACTACCTAAATCATGTTGTAAAATATAGGCTGTATTTAGCAACTGTTTTTTTACAGCTGGTGATGTCAAACTCATAGTGAAGCCAATATTCGTTTTAGCACAGCATCCAGTGCCCTGTTGCTGAACTCCCAAAAGATTTCTCTACTTAGCATAATGTGATTTTTTTTCATGTCAAAAGTGACCAAAATTCATCATGTAGTCCATTTACAGTGCAGTAGAGGATACAGTTAAAATGCATGTATGACTACAGTATAAAATTAAGCATGAAATATGTGTTCCTGAGGAAGAATAGCTTTTGTTTTCTGCTATCTCCCTTTATTGTAATTGCAGCTTGGTGTTTGTAAAGAAAAGCAAAAGCTTTGCAATTCACCAGTAAGTGAAGCCAATTGTTTTCATGGTATTAAAGTTTTCTTTCTTACCATATTGTCACTAAGTATCATTCTTTAGCTTTGGCAAAGTATAAGGAATGTTAGTGTTAATAATTTGGGAATTCTGCATGTTGCTCAGGATCCTGGTCTAAAGACAAAAATACATGTGTGGTCCCTTTCTTCAAGACTACAAGAATAAAACTGCCTCAACCAGACATTTTCTCTCATCTCTTTCATTGTCCTACTGACTCATGTTTTTCTTAGTTCCCAGTGACCACAGTGTTTACTCATCATTTCGCAGGTTTAACAGAACTACTTTGTGTCAAAGTTAGCCGTAATCATACCTCAATAAAAACTGACACATAAGGAGTAGATTTTAATAAGGAAAATTAAATTCTTAAGAACTTTTGTGTTCCTCAGTAGGAAGAGTAAATACATAAATATTGAGAGCATCTTTCATAGTGCTATACAGTCTTGCCAATGGTTTCCAAATGAGAAGCAGCTTACCTGTCCATTTTTCTGTTTTGCAGAGAAATGATGAAGAGGCTGTTGTGGATAGAGGTGGAACTCGCTCCATTCTCAAAACACATTTTGAAAAGGAAGATCTAGAAGGTGAGAGATTGTTTTTCTGTGCATTGTATTGTCTCTTTCTTCTGAAAGTACTGAAATGCAATTCCAATGTGTAAACTTACTGATTTGAGCAGGGATGCAAAAGTGAACAAGAGAGTAGAATCTCATAATTTATTTTCAAAAGAGAACTATTACTCATTTCTTGCAGTGGTGCTCTGACACAGATGATGGTGGAAGGAGTGTGCTAGGTTCAGTGATCTATAATCAAGTCCTGTACACATGCATGTACGACTTTAGATAAGTCTTTCTACCTTTAAGCTTCCAAATGTATAAATGCATGCCAGATTGATGATTCAATACTTATAATGGCTTCTACACTTGTTTTACAGTCCTCATGTAGTTAGTTGCCTAGCCACATCTTCAGCTGAACAAAAACATTCTGGAGCATCACAGATTGGACAGATACTTGATAATATACACTGCAGAAATCAGCTAACATCATCATGTAGAAGAAAGTGAGAAGTTGTGAGAACTGTCTGACGATATTGGCCTAATAATTCAGATAGTCTCTGAAAAGTTGCATTTCAGTTTGTTTAGTGGATCAAAAAATTATTCTGCTTACTACTGTACTTACCTTGTATTGAGGTGTGTCACTCCCCAAATCATAATTACTGGCTGAAACTGAATTTCTGTTGCACATATGAGATTGGAACTTGCTGATTTTAATTGTTCGATTCTTGTGGTGGGACATGGAAGGTTCTTGCCTTTGTCATATGGAGCCACAGGAACTAGCCAAAAAGAAGTACTAAGGTCTGGGGTGTTCAACATCCTACATCTGAAAAGTTACCTGCCTCAGGTCTAAAGAGAGGTATCTCCATCTGTGCATGAATCTGAGCTTTCTTAGATGCCTACCCTTCATCATGATTTTTTTTTTCCATTTCTCTCTATCTGCATGAATTTTGCATTCTCTGCTGCATGATGGCCATATTGATGATTTCATGTGAATGTTAACATGATACACAGCAACTCCCTGTTACCGCTTCCCTCAGCAGTGCCTCAAAAAGCATACATGGCTGCATTTTGCATGAGGCTTGGCTGTGTTACTGTTCGAGGTAGTTGCTTACAGAATGATGTAGAATGTCACACAGCGTAGCATGTATGAGGTAGGTAGCTCTCCTAGTCTGGGGTAAGTTTGAGCACATGCAAAGGTAGATCTCAGATCAGATGTTTTCAGGGTGGCATTTAGGGTTTTGGTGTCTCCAGGGGCGGGTGACTGCCAGTGGATCAGGCTGGCAATGACAGTTTTGGACTTAGGCATACAACCCCTCCTTTTTGAATCTTGCACTTAAGTCTTCTGTAGTCTTCAGTCACTTGGACAAAGGAAACTACTGTATCTGGTGTCCATAGCAAAAGACCCGACAGAAGAATAGGGACTCCCTGCCTTCCCTTCTCCATGATACTGACTCACAGAGTTTTTTGTGGGGTGAGCCTGCCCAAAAAATTACCTTTTGCTGAGTCATTTTACTGATGATGGTAGGGTGGCATTTTAAAAACGGACAACTTCCTGGGGAATGACATCTTTAAGCTCAGTCACATGGGTAGACTCAAGTGTTGAGGCAATCAGAATGACTGTGATGTTCCACATGTGACTACATGGAACCTAAAGCCTCATCTCAAAACTTGAACAAGTATGTAATTTAAAAACTGTATTTAATTACTATTGTTCCTCACCATCCTGTGTGTGTAGAGTTGCTCCTGTGAAACATCAATGAAAATATCCTTTCAAAAATCTGCTCCTAGGATGTTATCAGTAGAAATTGGAAAATGACAGTGTTTAGAACACTGAAAAATTGTGTAGTTAGCCAATGAGTCTTCTTTTCTTTAAAATCACACTGCTTCATAATGTTCTAACAAAACACTTACTCAGTGTAGAATGCTTCGTAGTGCAGTTATCTTTCTCAGATAAATTTCATGTCCACTGTAAGATCATATCAGTGTGTCTTTAAATATATAATCACTGCATCCAGAAATACCAAGTGACATAAAAAGATTTGAAGAGGTTGTAAATTTTAATATCCAGTTGCTGTTAATAGCATGTCCATTTATTTCGCAGCACATCTAGGCACTTTTCCATCTGGAAACAGTGAATGTGACTCACAATTGTCACAGTTTTTTTCTTATTCAGTGTATATTGTGTTGGGTTTTGCTGAAAACTTACCTTTTTCCTAATGACATAACAAACATAAAATATGAAATTATATAATCAGGTGCTAATTGCATAGCTTAGTGAAAATTGTATAAGTAATTAATATGTATTATGTAATTAGCTCTTTGACAGACATTTAATTGGGTTTATGTTTTAAAAATGTGAATAGCTAGTTACTGAGTATTCTAGCAAAGACTAGTTTTGACATGGTTTAAGTTTCAATAGCACCATATCGGCAACATTTCAGAAGCTGCAATTCATATGAAGAACTAAAGGTCATTTAAATCTGAAAATTAGTGTTCAATTTCTTCTGATTAAATCTTTAAAATTGTAAGTATTTTTCTACTTTTTAATTTTTCACTGTCAGCATTCAAATGTCAGAAATGCTGATTTAAATGTGTATTAAAATTTCCATCTGAAATTTCTTGGCCCAACAAATGCTTGCATTTGCATATTTTGGGGCAGCCATTGTGCAAATATATTGCAAGTACATGTCTTGCTGTAAGCAAGAAAATATTGTGGTGATTAATGCGTCCTGGAAGAACACCCACAAGACCAGAATTTTGCCTCAGTGTTTTCTTTCCCTGAGCAGTATAGTAAAAATTTGGGGAGATAGGACAGGAACTGCAATTCATGGGAATAGAAGAGATGTGGTGCTCGTCTGAGTGCTAGTAATGATACTTAGAATGCGTACTTCAGATTGTATCTTTTTACTTAAGCTTTGTAGTGCTTCAGAGGTGGATTGTTTGCAGAGCTTTGGCATTCAGTTTTTCAGCATGAATGGTTTTTCCATGTAATTAATTTTTCCTGAGTTATAAGGTCAAGATCAGCCACTAATACTGAACAGGTCATTTGTCTGACTGTTACATTAATGAAGGGACAGAGAAAGCATTTCTAAAAGCAAAACAAGAAGCTTGTCTCTCCTGGTTATAATTACGTATTTTGCATGTTATCTTTCAATGTGTACAGACAAAATTCCTACTGAAATAAAGATGCTTTTATTTTTATTAGTGGTGGATTTCCTAAATGAGAATTTGGCACTGATTGTGGATACTAAAGTACTTAATTGCAAAAGGACAGGTTGTACATGTACCTGTACTGGGAGCAGGCAGGCAAGTTTTCATAAACAGATGTGCACATCAACAAACAGTTGCAGTCAGCTTACTCCCTGTTGTTGTCTCTGGCTGTCTGCCATTGCTTCAATGCATGTTCAGTAGTAACAGTTTTCTGACAAAATGGATATACCTACTTCTTCACGCATAGATTAAAAATATTTGGATTGATCTGTACGTGTCTGGAGACCTCAGATTCTCTCAGATCACGTGCTAAGACTTTTGGATTATATAGATATGCAAAAGGAATGGCACTAAATGCACTCTGACTGAGGTCTTTTGCTTATGCTCACCATATCAGCTGAGAGTGAAAATGACTGTTCCGTGGCTGTCCTTGCTAGAGGTGCTCAGCTGCCACATCCTGGATTTTTGTGGCAGGATTTCAGAACTGCTGTGGGTATTACGTGGCCTGGTTTGGGAAGCAGCTTCAACAGGGAGATGGCTGGAGAAAGGGTTGTCAGGTGGAGGTCCAGGCATGAATCATGGCTGAATTATGGCTTTGTTGGAGAAAATTGCAAAATGATCCTTCATGCAGAGAAGTTAAGATTTTGTTTAAGCTTTTTATGTTTCATACATTTTATCTGCCTAAATGGTGTGGGAAAAATTTGTCTCATGGGAAATCAAGTTTGCTGTCTTTCATGTCTCTCAGGACACGTAGAACACCGTATCCAGTACATAAATCATTGTGCCTTAGAATATGCATTCTGACGCTTTTGACAGAATTTAGATTATGTGGCGTGATTACTGAAAGTCATGAAAGACTTCAGGCTAAATTAGGAAATAAACATCACTAGTACCACACTGAATATGATGCAAAAGCTGAGGATTTAAACTTAATAAACCAAAAATTGATCTGAAATGTTAGTGTGCTTGTGGAGATGTTTTTTACTTAACAGTCTGCATGCAGATTAATTTTGATAGTAGATGTCCTGCTGACCACAAAAAGAGAAATCCCAGAGTATTTAATTACTCTCTTTTAAAAATGGTTATTTTTGTTATTATTTCTTTTTAGATTTGCTCTAGCTTGTGACAGTAATTTAAAAAATATTTTAATTAAATTTTGATTATATGCAATTGGGGTTAATATATGAAAAACTCATTGTGATTGAGCTCTAATCTCCGTATATTATTTAGTAAAAATCTGAGTGGCTGCAGATATTGAAGTAGGCTTTTATTCTCAGAGACTGGACATTTTTTATAGAAATAACACAATAGTGGACCTGTCTGCCACTGACATTATTTACCTGAAAATTAATAGGACCTAGCAGCTCACAGGACTGAAAAAACATAAATCTTATTAACCTGCTGGCCTTGATTCAGCCTTGCCCCCACGCAGAAACAAGTCGGCTACTAATTCTGCTTGGCCAGACAGGAACATCGACCAAGGTCTCCCCTCGCTTTGGCTGCCAGGACACTACAGCCTGTTGCAAATAATTTGTTACGTTGTCAGTACAAATCCCCTGCTCCAAGCTTCCATGCCTTCGCTTCCCTTGGGTGCCTTGTTCATCCTGGTGTTCACTCTGATCTACCTCATGCTCAAGTTTGTTAGACTTAGAGGAGTAGAACATGAGTTGTGGAAGTGAGGAGTTGGAGAGAGATTTGGGTTTGTCTATGCCTGTAATGTTGGATGAGGTTGTATAGCTGTAGGTCTCTACAAAAAGGTCTTAAAAAGAACCATTTTGGCTTTGCAAGCACAGAATTCTTTCATTTTGTTGCCTACCAGG